CAGATTTTTTTCTTTGCTATGTTCCGATAAATCTGGCAATTTCTGAGTACCAGCCGAGCGCAGACGATTTTCAAGATTCTTACCGGCTTCTATACACTAAGCGCGTTTTTGTCGGTAGCGATAAATTTTCGGTATAAATGAGGCCACCAAATTTTCTCCGCCAAAGCTTTCATACCGAACTGTCCTGGGTGGCTTTTATGTAATAGCAATCTAAGGGCTGCTAGGACAATCAATTTGTTGTCATTGAATAATATGGGCTGTCCTGTGGGACTCTTTTCAAATAGGCATCGAATTTATCCAGTGGTATTCCTCCTTCTACTGCCTTCTTTATTTTTAGGACCTTGTCCTCGTCTGTCATCATCTGAAGAAGTTTGTTCGAGCAATGGTCCGTAAACACTAATGGATATAATGGTAATTTTAATTCCCCCTTATACTTTGCAAGTAATTTCTGATGAGCTTGGGAAATACTGCCGTTATCGAATTTTGATGAGAATACTTGTTTTTCTAAAAGTATTGATAATTTTGAAGAATGTACTGAAAGAATGAGGCTTGAAAGGTTAAAAAGTTTGATTGGTTTTTCTTGATTTAAGTTTGATAGAAAGGATAAAAATGATGGTTTAATGAAAAGAAATAGGATTTGTCCGATAAAAACATTTGGTTTAAATTAAACTTGAAAAAATTTAAAGGAAAGCAACTGCTCGTACAAGACTCTGAAAGCGAGTGACTAGAATTGCAATTTCTAAGTGTGTGACTTATTCAATAAAATTCACGAAGCACGACCGTTGGATATGTTGTAAGTTTTCATCTTTTCCGATTGTTGGATTTATAAAATCCTAGTTTGTAATACTATTTACTTTGTGTAAATCCACTGGATTACTAATCAACAAAACGTTCTTTGCACATTTCTTCTTTTTTTAGTCTCTATTCACAAATACGTTTTTTTGAAATCTTGTTAATCGTTGCCACTACAAATATGTTGTCATAATAAGAGGTTGGGAGGGTTTTTTCGGAAGTTTATTTGATAATAAATCCGTAAGTCATATTTCATTTCCTGGGATGTGTTTGATTTAAAAATTAAAATGCAAAAATCGGTTTACCCACCCAGTCAAACTATTATGCATCGTTTTATTTTTTAGTTTGCATTTAGCGCAAATAGTAACGCTTTATGATCCGTCACAATTTTGTACTGTGAACCGTATAGGTAATTCTTAAATGAACGGTTGTTCAGATCCTTCACAAAAATTCTAACTCATTAGTTGAATATTTCACTTCGTTGGTGTTGAAAAATCAAAAAGCGAACGCAATAATTATCAGAAAAACCCCTCTTATTGTTCCAATGTAGCTCCCAAGCCGTTATGCGAGGTATCAGTTTTCAGTCTTGAGTTGCTTCTAATATCAAAAATGTTATTCTCGGTTATATTCACGAATTGGTTTTTAACCCTTTAAAAGCTTTCGTGTTTGAATCATCCCAAGGGTATACTGATTTTTTGGTTAAAAGGAGGCAAAGCGGTGAACTCAATTTGTACTGATTTATTGAACCAAAGGATGATCTTGCCACTGAAAAGTTCTTCGGGCTCGGGAGGTTTTTTATTGATTCACATTTCAAAAACGAAACCCGTCAGGTTTATTGAAAAAAATGCACATTATTCCCCTTTTTAGTGCCATGTTTTTGCTTTCTATGAAATTCAGAATTTTCCAGAGGATGGCTCTACGTTCATGCAGTGAACCTTTAGAGGCAATTAAAATATCATCGATGTAGCAGTTGGTAAACGGAATATCTCTTAACAGCGAATCAATTACCCGTTGGAATTCGTTTGGCGTGTCTCCCAACCCATAGAATCCAGTTAAAACAAGAAGTTCCGGTGGTTTCACTCCTACTAAGCTGAAACTACTTTGTTCACTCGTATCGTTGCATAATTTTAGCTATTTCAGATCCAAACTACTAAACCAAACTTTTCCTGATTCTCAACTTGAACGATGCTGTCCATAAGTTCGTGTATATTTGGCATTTGAATATTTTTTAATTATCTGGCCATTTAGAGTCTAGAGCTAAATTTTTTGTGCAATCTTTCTTTCATGTAATTACAAATGGACTTATAAAACATTCTTCATCACATTTATATAATTTCACGATGTGCCCTTCTTTCTCCATTCTATTCGATTCAGATTTTACGCTGTCAAGTAAATGCAGAGGAACACTTAAGCCCTTGGTTTGTGTTGATTTAAAAGGTGAACAAAAATGTGTATCTTTCTATCTAGTGGTTTCTTTCCAACTCTGTTCAAAAGTTCTTTAAAAGCGTTGTACAAGTTAACAATTGAATTCAAATGGTCATTATACATACCGGGTTTCGGAAGAGACATGTTGTTAACTGGAAGTAGTGGTTGTTTCTGGACAATTTCTATTCCGATTCGAGGTAAATTGTCGTTTCCCAGGATGTTTCTCTCGTGTCCGGTGGTGATAATAAATGGGGTTTCTTCTGAAATCTATCCATTGGACTGTTTTCTGACTAAAATTTTTCTGATTATATTGATTGTATCATTAGTGAAGCCGCAGTGTAGTGCCCCGATTTTCTCATCTACGGGTAGAATCTTCAGTGTGGTGTAGAACTGTGGGTCGCTCAGTTTTAGCTCATGGAGCACGTTCTCTTTCAAAAAGTTTATTGGACTGGCCAAGTCCACAGAAATGTTCATATTTACAATTGCGTCATCATCTAATCCGTTAATTAAAAGTTTCTCAGTTTCTAAACCGTTGTCATTGTAGATTGTTCGTATGTTCAGCACCGAGTAATCATCATTGTTTCTTATTCCCTCTTCTGTCAAAGCGTTTATCACTCCACAAAAATTTTGTTCTTGGTTCAATTGTGGATCCAGTGGAGAATATGGTTAATTCTGCTTATATAGATTTTCGTCTACACTATTTTCAACTGGCTTTCTCCCTTTTGATTTAATAGGTCTTCCAAAGGGTCTTTTGTATTTACAAAATTTACATTTTATTTTTTTGCTGGGCAAAACGTTCACTTGTCCTTTGGTGAAACCATTTCCACATTTCATACAAAGTTTTTCTATATTCAGACTTGGTTCCTTATTATTGTGTTAAAATATTTGTACATCTTGCCGCTGTTGTTGTTGTTAGCCCTCGTCATGTTCGATGGTTATAGTAGTACTTCTCGTCGATAATTGCTTGGTAAAGTGCAACCGCCGGATTTAACGTTTCCGACGAGAGTATCCATTGGAGGTCACAATTTCTCATTTTGAAAATGAATATGTCTCTTATCTACTACTGTTCCGCGTTAATTTCTATTTCGCACGTTCTAGCTAAGTCCGAGAGTGCACCCCAAAATTGTTCGTAGAACTTTCTATCCTTCTGTTTTCGGCTCAAAAATTTGTATCGTTCAAACGTACAGTTCGCTGATTTGGCAAATGCTGCTTCAAGATGATCAAAAAAACTTTTGAAGGAAATGAATAGAAACTTCATCCTTGATGTTTTTGTGAGAACAACCCTTTCCCCTCGGCTCCTAGGGCCAAGTAAAGGATGGATCTTACTTTTTTATCCTCTTCGTCTCTCCTCGTACCAAACAAGTTTTTGTTCCTCCTCCGTGATATTTTTGCCATTCTCATGTTCGTAGAATCGCACTACTTCTTTGTTTCTGGCCTCCCTGGCTTTTCTCTGCGTTTCATTTTTTTTTGAATCATGGGCGTCTTGTAAAATAGGGATTTCCGTTTCTCACTCTAATGGTTGTTTCAGGTTATCTATATCCAAGTTCTCTTTGGCGATGATGGCCAAGTGGAGCTGATCAATCCAACTTGTAGATTGGGTGGGTGGTTCTACAGTATGGTTTGGCCAAAAGGCGGGAATTCTCCTCAGATTCGAATCACTTGACTGCGCCATAATAAGAAGTTTTCAAAGACCACTGGTACACTAAAGCTAGCTAAGCCAGGCTTGAAGAATAAAAGTAATAGCTTAAGTTAAAACGGACTTTTGTCTAAATAGAACTTTAAGTGACGCGAAGTCCAATGGACTTCGGTTAGAACACAACTGACAGGCATCTAATTATTTCCTAAAGGTCAACTTTAGTAGAATAAAACACATGATCACAACAAGGAAAATTATTAATCGAAGCGTCGATCATCTGGTGTTCGTTGGCTCCATGAATTGCCCCCGGTTCGGCATTCGAGGTAGAAAAAGAAAATACGCAATTTTTACCGAAAAAACTCTCCCTTCCAATTCTCTACAACATGGAAGAAAAACTCCCTCAAAGTTTAGCTGTGTTTTTTTCCTACCATTCATATGGAGTTCAAGGTTTGCTTGAGCATCGATTTCAAGATAAATTTACCAAGACTGTGCTCCAGCGAAAAATGGCCAGACCCTGATACCCAGAATAAAAAATGCATAAGCCAAGCGAACCTGAATTGGTTCATACAGTTTTCAAAAGATTTCAAACAGCAATATCTTTGAACTAATCAAAATCCGATTGTATCAAAAAAATGGGGGAGGAACTTTGTCATTGACAGCAATTCGAGGTTTGATGCGCGTTAATCTAGACAAAATTTCTCTTGGGTATGTACAATTTCTATTTTGTGGCTATTAAGCATTTCTTTCATCTTCCCTGAAATCATTGAATTGATCCTTTATAGAGGTAGACTTTTTAAAAAGTTTTATAGAAAGGGATGATGAACAGAATCCAATTTTTCTAAAGACGGAGCAGTTTATGCTTTTTTTCTACTTTATTTTTTGAAACTGAAATAGTATACATCGCGGGAGTAAACCTCTTATGTGCGTTTCCGGTCCCGAATAATCCCATGCTGACTTACTAGGACAAACAATACGATACAAGAGTAGTTTTTCTTAAGCTATCAGCCAATCACCCTTCAACATCCTCCCTATGATAATCGGGAACGCGCATAAAAGTTTATCCCCATATGCGGGACTCTGACATCTATGTATCGTTGGCTGCTCCTGGAGACTTCTCTTCTTTCTTCGGGAAGTGGGAGTGGCTGACCAATCAGGTTCTTCCTGTCGTCTATGGCCTCTCCGTAGGGTCCATGATCCCACTTCCGCTCTATCATACTTGCTTCAAATTCTATATCAAAGTTCGAATTTTGGGCATATTTTCACCGGTGCAGCAGTCCACAAAATATTTTTTATGTTATAATTGGGATGCGAGAAAGAAAATTTTGGGCGTTTTTAACCCAAAAGCAGTTGCTGCAATCAACACCAAAAACAAACGAGTCTTATATGTGAATGCGAAGCTCTTTCAATATTGATTAGAGCGGCAACAAAAAGTAAATTGAAAAAAAAAAAGGTTATTGTCGTAATTTAAAAAAAAGTTTGATAAAAAAAGAAATTTTATAAGGTTCGTTGAAGTTCTGCAGTGAGCAATATCTCTAATTCAGATGCCAAATTAGAGAAACATTAACATTGTTAATTTGCAAAAAAAGCCGAACTTTTGATTTTTTTAGTTTTTTATTCAGGGACTCGACACCTCAGGGATTTGACCCCTGCCGACCCAAAGGGTCCCCCCTTTGTACTATTTAGAGATATCAATTTTTGGCTGACTGACCCTAAAAGTTTTCTATTTTGAAGGAGAAGCGCACGCCAAAAAACGCAATTATTTGGTCAAAATGTTCCAAAAAGTGCGTAAAAACGCCTTTTTAGGCCTATTTTTTTTTCAAAAATTTGCCTACGACTCAGAAAACTTGGTCTAATTGAGGCCATTGTAGTGATTTGGGATAGCTCAGAAACTCGATTTGCTCAACCTATAAAAAAGGTAGAGAAAATTTTCGGACCTAATAATCCGCCATTAAAAAAAACCATGAATTTCGTTGCCAGATTGTTACAGGCAATCGTAATAGGTCAAGACAAACAAAATTGGTTTTCACAACTAGTTTTGTTAAACCCTTTTTGGCTCTTTTTCCTTCCCCCCCCCCCCCCCCACCTCCAATTTTTTATAATTAAAATTACTGTTCGCATTGTCTGATTGTCATGAAAATTGACATGCAAAAAAATTAGGCCATGACAAACATATTTGGTCTTCATAATTAACCTTGTAAAACCACTCGTTAGACCATAAAATTGATGCTCATGTGAGGTGGGGGGGGAAAGGAAAAAAATCCCCCTTTTTAATCCGAATTTTGAAGAAATTGACGTAATATTTGTGTCAGGGGTAGTCTTTTTCTACAAACGATATCGATTTTTTTAATAATAGTTTTTTGTAGGGTATTGTATATCATTCAAAAGGTATTATGCTCAAAATCAAAAAGACGTTGCACATGTGATTGGCTTTTGTAAAGTCAACGGGGCTTAAAATTTCCCCTTTTGGCCAATATATGATAATCAACGCGCAATAATACCGCGAAAGCGGGGATTTAATCCAATTTGGAAAATGTTTCAATTCGAATTGAGAAAATCTACTTATTCTTTTTATTGTGCGACTTTCGCAGAGAGTGCGGGTTGCTTCTGCGTGGGTTGGTTTTGTTCATTGTTTCGATTTTCGAAGAAGGTCAGGCTTATATATGCTCGTGTTGTTTTTTCTTATTCAGAACAATTCTCAAACATTTTTCCCTCAGGGAATCGATTTCTGGGTCTTCGAGGTCCCAGAAGGGGCGCGCTTGCCACTAGAATATCCTCATTAATAGACAAACATGGCTTAAAGAGCGCAATGATACTTTGATGCTGAAAACTTAGCGCGCAACATTTACGCGTGGTGAAGTAGCCCGAACCGCAAAACTGTTTCAAATTTCATTGAGGCAGGCTAATTGGTCTTTTTAATTGCAGACATGATTTTCAATATTCAGCATAGAATTCAGAGTTTGTCAATATTGTGTCAATCAAAAACTATTCGAGACCAGTTTAGAGAGAGTCGGGTTCAAGGCGTTGCCCTGATACGAGCACTCTTGTTCGGTTTATTTTCGAAATTTTGAAAAAATTTATTAATAGCATCTGAAATTTTTTTTCTTGATTTCAATGTTAAAAGATAACATCACCGGTGATCTTTTTTTGCATGGTTTGAAATTGTTTTTTTGGCCAATTCGGGATAATTACCTTGCGATCAATTGCGTCTTACAAGCAGTGGGTTAGTTTATTCCAAGTTGAATTGAGACAAATTTTTTGTCGTATTTTTAGGCTACAAGACGCTAAGTACATCTCTTTTTTATTTACTAAAGCGTGTGGGGGGTAAATTAAAAGAAAAAACAAATTGTTTTGTCATTTTTTTAATCAAAAACTTTTAAATTGGCTAAAAAGGGCAGTCGGAACATTCAGGGTTTCGCCCTGACATACGCACGAGCGGTTTTGTTTCTTCGCTAAATGCGAAACGTATCACTTTGGACCTTATATATCATTTTTTTCCATTTTTCCTTGAAATTGTTTTAAAAGACAACACTTTTCCATAGCGCTTAAGAAGCAGACGGAATTTTCAAGGCTTCGCCCTGATACTAGCAGTTTTGTTACACTATGAAACTATTGTGATGATTATGATGAGACAGGAAGAAGGAAAAAGAGCCTAGTTTTTTAATGAAATTTCTATGTTCATTCCGTTCATTGACATCAAAAAACAATATTGAACAGAGCAAACATAGCTTTTTTCCTTGTTTTGCACTACATTTTAATTTAAATTTTGAAACTATTTTATTATTGTCATAATGCACAAAAATTTGGCTGGGTGAGCAAACTAACTATTGTGCACATATTTTTTCTTCATACCTTACATAGTAAAATACGTGTTTGGCCATAAAAACACGTGAAACATTTATGGAAAAAAGATTTTTCGAAACGTGGGAGGCGAAGTGGAAAAGAGCCAAAAACTTCAAAGCAAGATAGTTTGTTTCATGTTTTGCGAATTGGTCTACATGCGGGATGAAAATAGCCTAGAAACGAAGAAACCTCCAGCTGTTTGTCTCTTCGCAAATTTTTTGCTTGACCGAAAAGATTTGCTAGCCAAACTTTCTAGATCCATCACATAACGCTACAACCAATTCAATGTATATCTTCAATTTTAGTTTCAGTTATTCTTTTGGCTTTGTTGTTTCGACTTCTAATCCAAGTTTCTGATTACAAATGCTCAGGAAATAGCACGTGCAGTTATCACAACGGTTTTCTTCGTGATTTTTTGGTTTCTTTGTTAGTGATTGACTTCTTCTTCATATAACTTAGAGATTACAAACAAAGGTATCATTACATGCAAGCTCATTAGATCAAGACAAACAAAATTGGTTGTCTTACTTAACTTTGTTAAAACCCTTCTTATTCCGAAGAAAGTATTTATGCTCGGGGTAATCTTTTTCTCCAAACAAACTTAGAGATTAGAAAAAACCTAAGACTTATGATTCTGATATAAATTCTTTCGGCTGTTAAAATTATGACTTATTCCGACATTTCTCGAAAGCGTGAGAAGGAACTATGGCGCATACTTTTTGCAAAAGATTGAGTACTTCGCCACAAATAACTCCTAGGAGAATTGTCAAGTCTGGTATCATTTTAATGCCCTTGCAGTAGTGATTTGATTTCTTTTTTGAAAATTTGAAGTTTTTCCGTTTGTCAAGAAATAATTTTTTGTTATAGTGGTAAAATCACTGACCATTTTTACAAGTTCACTATTATGCTTCAAAAAGTATTTTCATCAGCAATTTTTTTCGACTCCAGTTTTGATAACTCTGAAAAAAACATCATTAAAAAATAAAATACAAAATGATCTTTGTCGTCTATTGTTTTCTTTCACAACTGTACTTGGCAGATTTTTTTTTAATTTTCGGAGTGACCGGCTATTCATCATTCTTTCATTTTTAGTCTTCCGTTTTAACCTTAAAAGTTCTCTCCAAGAACCATTATTTACTATTTTTAAAGACATAAAAAGTTTTGACGGAAAGTGAAACGCTTAACAAGAATGAAACACGCGCTACAATCGTGTGATATAACGTCAATTCTTTAGACATATCATTGATGAAACGTTTTATATCGTTTCGTCAAGATATCAATCAATTTATTTGGGGGGGCATTATTAGGTCAGCTAGTCAGTCATACAGAACTTGTTCAAGAGCTGCTGACCTTGATACTGAATCATCTCTACAAACTCGACCAGAAATTAGGAATTTTTTATTTCTTCTCGGGAACCAAATTGAGTTTTCCTTAGACAGACAAAATGAGGCCAAACTGTGCATTTTGCGAATTGTAAGCGGATTCCTCAACAGGCTGAAAACAGTTTCTCGCGGAATCCGTGATATTGCTATTTTTCTTTTATCTTCTTTGCTGCTTTAGATTCATTGAACAAGTAGTTAAAACACTGTATAGCTCAAAACCACTTCAAAAGAAGTCAATTTTGTGGAATCTGCACCAAATTTTGCGGAACCCGGAAGTTTGTGGAATCAATGCAAAAATCAAATTATTTGCCTAAAAAAAATTGCGCTGTCGCGGAATCCGCAAATGTAAGCTGAATCAGCAAATTGTAAGCGGCATCCGCATTTCATTTTCGGAATCCAAGTACAAGTAGGGTTATTTAATTTTTAAAAATGAATATATATATTTTTATGGGCCACCAGTGATACTTTATAGCAGTTCAATCTCATTTACTGCCAACAGTTTAATCTCAAATACTGCCAACAATTCAATCTTAATTATTGACAATAGTTCAATCCAGGTTAGTTCAATGTCAATCATAGCCGACAACGACAGTTCAATCTCATTCACTGACAACAATTCAATCAAGCTGAAACCATCCAGTTAAACCTCAAATACTGAAAGAATGAATACCGAATAAATGAGCACTTCTGCAACTTAAAATACTGAAACAATGGAAACAATGAAAATCAATTGAACTAAGCTACTTAAATCAAATTTTTAGTTCAATTTGGAGATAAAAATTTTGAGATTGGGTCCAGGACAATTTGAAATCATAACCTTTTACACTGACAATGCAACTTTTTTGAAAGTCATATTTTGGAGATTATTTTAGAGAGTAATTAGGTCAAAACTTAAGAGTTTGGAAACGATAGTTGTCACAAAGTCACAGCCGAATCAAGATAATCCAAAATATAGATTTTGCAAATCGAAGACAGTCTGCTGAGAGATATTT